TGCCTATTATGAGAGTGTTTTGAGAAAATTAGTCAAAGCTTTAGCAGAAAAAAGCATGGGGAAGCTTCGTCAGAGTTCTCTACCTCTACCGTGACAATGTTCCTGCTCATTTCTCTCATCAAACAAGGTCAATTTTGTGAGTTTCAATGAGAAATCATTAGGCATCCACATTATAGTTCTGATTTGGCACCTTTGACTTCTTTTTGTTTCTTAATCTTTAAAAAAAAAAATCTGTAAGGACAACCATTGTTCTTCAGTTAATGTAAAAAAGACTGCATTGACATGGTTAAATTCCCAGATTCTCAGTTCTCTAGAGAAGGACTCAATGTCGGGTATCCTCACTTCAAAAGTATCTTGACTCTGATGGACCTTGTGTTGATTAATAAAGTTTATAATTTGTATGTTTTTAATTACATTTTTTTCAAAAACTTTTTGAGTCCCCTCATACAAATGGGTACTTACAAAATAAGCTAAGAGTCTTATTCAACTGACAGGAAGTTTTGTGCCATCTAAAATTATCTTAGGTAACTACAGACTATGTTGGAAACGTTGAACCAAAAATCACTTAGAACAACTTCTGCTATGACCACAATGGAGTAACAGGACTGGATTTGCTCTCTTTCCTGAAACAACCAAAAAATGCCTAAAATATATGCAACTCGAATTTGCAAGACATTGTAAATCAGGCAACAAAGATGGCAACCCCTGAAAAATTGGACACTCACATAAGGTGAGCTGGACAACTGCTCTGGAGTATCTTTGGAAATCTTCAAAGCCACTACCCTGGGAGAGGAGACCAGGAGGAGCTCATTAGTCTCCCTGAGTCGAGGGAACAGAGATGAATCCAAGGAAACCATGGTGGTTACAGTTTCAGAGTTTTAGACATGAAGGAGCTACACAGAGAGAACTCTAGGACTCTGCAAAGGGTCCCTTTAAAGTATTAAGCTGAGTATTCACCAGGGTAGTCATCTGCGGAAGATACCTAAGGTTGGGGAAACAACTCCCAGAAAGGATTAGAGGTAACAGAATGTGAGCTTCCAAAGGTCCAGGAAATGTGCTTATTTTACCAGCTGATCTAAAAGAACTTCAAGATTCACAAGGCATGGGTGGGGTACACAGAGGGTCTTGCCTCTGAAGTAGGGAATAATTAGCCTTAAACTGAATACTGATCTGATTCCACCTAATACATTTTAAAAGCAAAACCAAAAAGAGTCCAACCTCTTTCCAACTAATAAATGCATACCAATACAAAGATCATATATATACATATATACTTGATTACTTGATCAAGCATGTTTATGTGTGTGTGTGAACAAGCGTGTGTGTGTGTGTGCGTGTGTGTGTATACACACACATATATATATATATTTCTTGGTACTGGAAATATACTTTCTCCAAAAGAGTGTGTGTGTGTGTGTGTGTGTGTGTGTGTGTGTTGTGTGTGTGTACATACATATATTTCCAGTACCCAGTAAGGTAAAATTCACCATATGTGATACCCAGACACAAATTAGCAAGAATAAAAAATTAAAAAGCAGAAAAATATGGTGGTCAGTAATAAGGAGAAAAGTCATTCCATCAAAACTAACCCCAAACAAGTATAGATGTCAAAATAATAAGTTAAGCACATTAAAATACTTATTCAAACATTCTACAAGTTCTAAAATAGAGACATGCACAATGTAATAAAGTCCCAAATCAAACTTTAGAGAAAATTTGCAAAATATGAGATGAAAAAAAAACATACTGAAGAGGATTAATATTACACTAAGCATTGAAGAAAATAGAAATTACTTAAAATACAAAATTAAAAACAGAGCAGAGCAATAGTAAACAGTAAAATTCAAGCTGCTTAATGTATATATAATCTAAGTTCTCAAAGGAGAAGAGAGAGAAGAGGGAAAATCTTTGGGAACTTTGAGTTAGGCAAAGCTTTCTACAATATGATCCAGAAGCATGATTTATAAAATAATATGTTAATAAGACGAACTTCATCAAAATTAAAAAAGAATCCACTTTTCAAAATAATCTATTAAAAGAGTGAAAAAGATGAGCTACAGACTGGGAGAAAATATTTTCAATTCATATATCTGATAAAGAACTTGCATCTAGAATATATAAAAAAGCTCAAAATTCAATTATTAAAAAATAAACAGTGTAATTTAAAAATTGGGTTAAAGCTGGGCTCGGTGGCTCAGCCTGTAATCCCGCACTTTGGGAGGCTGAGGTAAGTCGATTGCCTGAGCCCGCGGGTCCGAGACCCGCCTGGGCAACTTGGCGAGACCTCATCTCTACAATAAATCAAAAAAATTAGCCGGGTGTGATAGTGTGCGCCTGTAGTTTCAGCTACCTGGAAGGCTGAGGCGGAAGGATTGCTGGATTCCAGCAGGTCGAGGCTGCAATGGCCGGGAGAGGCCACTGCACTCCAGTCTGGGTGACAGAGTGAGACTCCAACTCAAAAAAAAAAAAAAAAAAAAATTTGGGTTAAAGACAGACATTTCAAAGGAGAAATTTGTTTTGTAAACAAGCACATGAAAATATGTTCAACATAATTAGTGCCTAGGGCAAGGCAAATTAAAACCACAATGAGATGCCACTACCTATTTTTAAATAGCTAAGATTAAGAAGATTCATAATAATAAGCACTGGTTTGAGTATGGAAGAAATGGAAATCTCATGCACGGCTGATGAGAATGTAAAGTAGTAAACTTTGAAAAACAGTTTAAGACTCTCTTTAAAAAATGTTAAATATTCTTCTGCCATATGATTTGGGTTTTCCCCTCCTGGGTATTTACCCAAGAGAAGTAGAAGTAGATATAAAATATATATACACAAATGTTCACAACTGATTTATTTATAATTGTCCAAACTAGAAACAGTTTGAATACTGAGCAATAAGTTAATGAAAAAATATGCTTTATCCAAATGAATTAATACATACCATAATGTGAATGAATATCAAAGTAATTGCGCCCAATGAAATAAGTCAGATAATAAAAGCACATATTGTATCATTTCATTTGTATAAAATCTTAGGCTACGTAATTAGTATATGGCAACAGCAATTCTGTGGGTGCTTGGGGTTAGAGGTGAAGGGTCAGAGGGATGTATTAGAAAGGGCATGAGGAACTTTCTGAGGTGAAGTCGATTTCCATTTTCTTGATTGTGGTGACAGTTTTGAAACTTTCCATATGTGTAATTTATTATATGCCAATTATACTCATAAAACTTGTAATAAAAATCAGCTAAAAATTTCATATGTAATTATTTGCTGAGCCTTTACTGTCCATGCCACACGTGAGCACATTGACTAATTATTTCAACTGACATTAACAAGTAAAACAATTTCTGTATATTTTCATGTATAACTTAATTCTGTCCTAGTTATTACATTTTAAGTGAGTGATCTTGGAAAATCTTTGATTTTTTTATTTTAAGCAAACATTTAGTGAGTATTATCAGTTGGGTACCATGAAAGATAATTCCACCTACAATATCACATTTAATGAAAATGCCGGTTGCTACAGCTGCTCTTTCTCAGAATAGAAACCAGGTATATCCATTAATCAATGGAGAAAAATAACCTGTTGCTTAAACCAGACCTCAATGTGTTCTCCATTGAGGCATGTACAATGCATATGTGTGATTTTTTGAAGCTTTCAAAAGGTTGCCTGAAGCTAAGTTCTTGGCTGCAAGACTGGTAACTAGATTTAGACATTTAGATAGAGTGTTTTAAGTTTGGGCAACTGAAATAAGTTTAGTAAATACAAAAAGAAAAAAAAAAGCTTAGCCATGGACAAGTAAGAAGTTTCTTCCAGTACATTTATTGTACTATTTGACTAACAGGTGAAAGAACAAATATCCAAGCCTCCTCCACACTATTGGTTATATGATATGATGATATGCCGAAAGAAAATGAATATGAATCAGTTACAAACTATGAGTTCTAGTCACATTTCAGGTTTGCTGCTCACAAGCTATTTGACCAGGGATAAGCAAAAACCTGTAGGCTTTCTTCTTTGAATCTACAAAATTTGCAAAAACAGTCCATGACTTACCAAATCCAGGACATTGTTGAGAGGGTTAAATAAATAATATATGTAAAAGTTCTTTATAAAACTATAACACTCATGTACTTTTTTTTTTTTTTTTTTTTTTTTTTGAGTTGAAGTCTCACTCTGTCGCCCAGACTGGAGTGCAGTGGCCACTCCCGGCCACTGCAGCCTCCACCTGCTGGGCTCAGTGATCCTTCTGCCTCAGCCTTCCATGTAGCTGGAACTACAGGCGCGCCTTACCATGCCTGGCTCATTTTTTGATTTATTGTAGAGATGAGGTCTCGCCAAGTTGCCCAGGTGGGTCTCGAACCCGTGGGCTCAGGCAATCCATTCACCTCAGCCTCCCAAAGGCGCAGGACACATACATATTTTAACTTGACTGAAGCATGCTTGACTTTTAGGAGAGGGAAGGTGAGATTTGGAGTCAAGAACATTCCATTAGGAGTTTGGAGACCTGTATTCAAGCTCGACCTCTTCTTCAGAGAAGATGGATAGTTTTTGAATAAAGCCTGGATTTCAGTTGCATAGCTATAAAATGTTAGAATAAAGTGAAACATGCAAAATCACAGATTTAAGTGTCTGTGCTTTTTAAAAAATGTCAGAGATTATACAAACTCTCTCCGTCCCCTCCTTCCCCATGTTTTTTTGTTTTGTTTTGTTTTGTTTTTCAGTAGAACAATTACTTAGAGTCAGAAGGACCTGCTGCTCGTTCCAATGCTATGTGTTCATCTGCAGAAATTTTAGTCACGAATTATTGGGGGTAGTCAAGGAGGAAACAACTTAAAGAGCTTTGGCACACCCTTAATTAAATGATAAATGTGTGTCAAAGCAACTTTGATAATATCAAATTCCACATACTTTTAACTCACAAATATAGTGATCTTTCCTATCCCTCAGACATTCTGATGCATTTCAAATACTCATTAGAAAAATCATTATCCATACCTGAAAAGGCTGCCTGCTGGAAATGTTGAGGTGTTTCCTTATCCACCTGTTGCCTTGATTCCCAAATATCTGCCACAGCAGCTGTCCCTTTGTGTCACTCCAGATTCGCTGGTAGATAGCCAACTTATAAATGTGCTTTCCGAACATGTGGTAATAGAGGCGGAAGGTGCAGCCCATTGCATCAGTGGCATTGAGGATCGGGCTGAGCAAAGCAGCATTGTCTTGAAAGACCTGTGGCTCTGAAGATTCTATGTAGAGATAGTGTCCTTTAGCTGTGCCCAAAGTATTATCCTTCATTGGCCCTGTATTAAGCGTTGAGGTTGGACCCTGGTTTCTGGTCCAATCAAAGTCATCTTCTGTGTATTGTTCCCAGTTACAAATTCCATTTTCAAAGCTACATTGCAGTTCAGGTGCTGAAATTTGCATTAAATAATGGCCAAAGGTAATTAAAGACAAAAATAAATAAAACCATATTGTTTCTATTAATTTTAAAACAATATTAGATATTTTACTTATGCCAAGGTAAGTCATTTTAATTTTAAAACACTGAAGTTTTAAAAATAGTGACTAAATCCCATATAATACATCAAAGTAATAATATTTTATGGACTAAAGATGGAATAGCTTTGGTGATTTTTTCCAAATGTTTTTCATGCTCCACTTCTGTTACCATAACTGCAGGCAAATGATCATGGCCCCATGCCTGGCTCACTGTGACAAACATCTGGCTCAGTAGATTTCAACCTCAGCTGAATGCTCTAATCACCAGGGATCATTAAAAAAACAAACAAACACACAAACCCCAAAGCCTAGCATTCACCTCCGCAGGTGTTGATTTAATTGCTTCAAGTGGTAAAGTCATACATCAGGATATTTTATAAGCTCCCTTGGTGATTCTAACAAGCAGAGCTGAGAACAATTGTACTTTCATGGGTCTCAAGTTTGAAGAATTACCTGGGGCTCCTGGTAAAATAGCTTACTTCATAGTAAAATCCCAAAACAGATACTAATTTATTAGATATTGAGTGCAGCCTAGAAATCCACATTTTTAGCAAGGCCCCAAGAACATACTGATGTAGGTGTCTTCCGGACCTCACTCTGAAAAAGTCATCCCTTTGGTTCTGTTCTGTCCAGCTCCAAGAGTCCCTACACACCAGTGCCAGAGGGACCTTCGATGGTAGTGTTAACATTTCTTTCTCTTGTCAAAATTCTTTAATGTGTGGTTATTTAATTTAAACCTAAATCCAAACTATTCTCTTTCAAACTCCATCATCCTCAAATTAAAATGACACCCTGTACATTCCCCTCTCCCCTTCTCCTTAGCCTGCACCTCAGTCCCTATGTAGTCTGAACACCTCATTCCCCTCCTCCATATCTGTTTATGCCTCACATTATGTATGTGCCTTGCAGATTCTTTGCAGTGTCTCACTACTGGTGGCCGTTTCTTCTCACTGGATTGTAGCTCCTTTGAGCTGGAGTTTTTAACCCTCTAACTTCCTTCAGTCACTAGACCAAATCAAAGACCTACAAAGAACTGATTACAACAGTCCCATCTTATCTGATGTTTTGCCTTCAGCTGTTTCAGTTACCCTCGGTCAACCATGGTGTAGTCGGGAAATATGATATGGAGAATTTCGGAAGTAAACAATCAATAAGTTTTACATTGCAGGGCATTCTGAGCAGCCTGATGAAATCTCAGGCATCACAAATAGTAGCTGTCTGGGTTATTGGATTGACTTGCAGGATTGCAGAGCTTGTGTTTAAGTCACCCTTATTTTACTTAATCATGGTCCCAAAGCACAAGAATTACTATTGTTCTATTTTATTATTAGTTACTGTTATTAGTCTCTTACTGAACCCCATTTGTGAGTTAAACTTTATCATAGGTATGTACGTATAGGAAAAAACATAGTATATATAGGATTTGGTACTGTCTGTGGTTTCAGGCATCCACTAGGGATCTTGGAACATATCCCCTGCAGGTAGTGGGTACCACTGCCATCCCTTATCAATTTGAACAGTCTACCTAAATTTGTCGGGTAATACAGAAACATGTTCATTTTTCAAGATGTAAGGATATGGTGACAGCAAGTAATTTGCTTTAGAATAAATGTGATAAAAGGTACATTTGATAATATTTGGGCAAAGGGGATAGGATTTAGAATTAACAGTAGTTCCACATTTTAGCTTCATTTGCATAAGTTAGGTTTTTGTTTTTAAGTCAGCTGTCCTTTAACTATTCGTTTTAGTAGTGGCATTTGGTGCCAGAGGTGAGTGACTACCCTGAAACAAATAAAAGCTTATGTGAATACATGCAGCCAGGCGAGAACAAATCATCTGTCTTGGAAACCACAGAACAGGAGCTTAGACCTAATGAAGGGAACCAAGTGGGTAAATGTCAAGTGGGAGATGAGCTTTCTTTTGATATTTCCTCACTTGTGACTAATCAAGCCCAGCTGTGAAGTGAACTGGGGACACACGACGTACCCTTCAAGAGTTAGTCTTTGGCTGTGGAGCAGAAGGAGAATGGCAAGTAGCTGAGTTTTTGACATAAAACTGGCACAAAAGTCAACACATTTTTATATAGCCTGTCTTGGTGCTGATTGCACACTCAAGCTCATTCCTGAGGGAATATGTCTAGCTCCATCTTTCACTAAAAGATCACATTGCTAAACATATTCAGGACACTCCACATGAACTTCCAGATGTCTAATGCATACTATGTGGTAAAGTAATATGCCTCATTGAAAAGCTGTGAGAAGACCAGGTGTGGTGGCTCAGTCTGTAATCCCAACACTTTGGGAGGCCAAGACGAGAGGATTGCCTGAGAGCCTGGGGGTTCGAGACCAGCCCAGGCCACTTGGTGAGACCTCGTCTCTACAATAAATCACAAAAACTAGCCAGGTGTGGTGGTTTGCATCTGTAGTTCCAGCTAATTGGAAGGCTGAGGCAGAGGGATTTTCTAAGTCCAGCAGGTCGAGGCTATGGTGGCCATGAGCATACCACTGTACTCCAGCCTGTGCAACAAGAGTGAGACTCCAACTCCAAAAAAAAAAAGCTGAGAGAGAAACTGACATTCTAACACCACAACTCTGTATGCTGTCACTAATATGTAACCATAAGAAGTATTTTGATATTATCATTGTACTTCTGTAATCCTATCCTACTAAATTAATATTATGAAGTTTGAAGAGTAATTTGCTTATTTTTTGCAGCAGATTGACATTTTTTAGTGAATTGTATTTAAAAGGATTGAAAAAGATAAAAAGGTTTTCTAAATGTACAAAAATAAATCAGTCCTTAGGAAAAGTTACAGTTCTTATAATAGTCACTGTCAAAACCATCAATTTTAATTATATCCTCTCAAATATTAGTTGGGTAAATTTCATGAGATACATGGTAAATCTGATTTTAATATGGCTGACTTTAATATGCCTTTGATAATGTGTATCAAAGATTACATATATTGATTATACTCCACATTGATTTATGTGGAACATTTTAAATGTGTTCTATGACGTGCCAAGCATTCTGCAGTTGTACATTGTTTTATACTTAGTGTCCCAATTTAGTGAATGTAAATTTAACAAACGAAAGAATTTATTTGTCAAATACATTTCATATTCAAGATCTTGAAATTTAAGAATTGTTGCCAGGCTTGGTGGCTCAGCCTGTAATCTCAGCACTTTGGAAGTCCGAGATGAGTGGATTGCCTGAGCCCACGGGTTTGAGACCAGCCCAGGCAACTTGGCAAGATCTTGTCTCTACAGTAAATAAAAAACTAGCCAGGTGTGGTAGTACACGCCTGTAGCTCCAACTACTTGGAAGGTTGAGGCGGAAGGATCGCTGAAGCCCAGCATGTCGACGCTGGGGTGGCTGTGAGTGTGCCACTGTACTCCAGCTTGGACAACAGAGTTAGACTCTGACTCAAAAAAAACAACAAAAAAAAAGAATCGTTGCCATTTCTGGATGAGAAATCCAAGTCCAAGAAAAGATGCAAACTTTTTTTTTTCCTGACAGACTTTTGTGGATTTTACAAAAACAAATCATTATCTTTGGATACATTTTCAAAAATAAACGCAGGGGCAGGATTCGAGTTAACTGCAAAACATACACAATCATCAGATAATAGAAACTTTTCGGTCCTTTGAACCAGAAACCCAGGACTTACTCTTGACTCCTCTGTCTCTGCTCTGTAGAAATGAAATATCATCAAATGTCCTTCCTAAATATTTCCACAAAACCTCACTCCTCATCTTCATCACTGTCACTGTGATTCTCTGCCAACTGCTCTCCTTTGAACTACTGAATCCACTCTCCTTTAATCCATTCACTGCACTGCATCCACTGTGAAATTTTAAAATATGGCCATTTTGTTATATGACCCTCCTTCTTACAACTTCAAATGAAGAAAGTCTTCTTTAGCATGAACTACAGACACCCTGAATCTGGCCGATCCTACACCGTCATCCTTATGTTGTATGTTGTACCTTCCTTCCCCTTCCCCAACCATACCTGCTATCTTCCATTCTCCTTACAATCACACATCAGGGCTATTAGATGTATGCTTTGACTTGTTATTTTTCAGCTCTCAGCTAAGTAATCATCTCTAGAAATCTCAATGCCATTATTATTTAAAGTCACAGCACCCCTTTTTGCAGCTCCTGTCAAAGCCACCATTTTCTATTTCTTTTTTTTTGAGCTGGAGTCTCACTCTGTCACCCAGACTGGAGTGCAGTGGCCGCTCCCGGCCACCGCAGCCTTGACCTGCTGGGCTCTGGCGATCCTTTCCCCTCAGCCTTCCAAGTAGCTGGAACTACAGGCGTGTGCTACCACACCCCACTAATTTTTTGATTTATTGTAGAGATGAAGTCTCGCCAAGTTGCCCAGGAGGGTCTCGAACCCACAGGCTCAGCCAATCCACTCACCTCAGCCTCCCAAGGTGCAGGATTACAGGCTGAGCCACCGAGTCTGGCGTTTTCTATTTCTTTAATAAACATTAGATATCTATCTCCCCAATTAGACTATAAGCTCCATGAGGGCGGGGAACCTGTGTAGTTTTGTTTATCATTGTATCTTTATTATCTCATTAATACATCCAATAATAAATACTGATGACTGGACTAATAGACCACACAATGTTCATCAACTTGGGAACTATGCTTGACGTCATTGGTTTGATTGGCTAGACAACAGCGAAAAAACCATAGTCACCACTCTCAAAGTGAGTAAGAGAAGTCAAAAAATACAACTTACCACAGTCAGTCTCATCAGTGTGATCACCACAATCATCCACCAGATCACACAGCCGAAGTTTTTCTACGCACGCCTTGGTATGCTGACACCAGAAAAGATCTGGCCCATCACAACTCTCAGCAGGAAGGGGAAGAGTACAATTTTCAAATCTGATGTCATCAATAGCTGAGACCCCATCATAAATGCCAAGACTGACTTTATCTAGTGACAAATGGAAGGGCTGAGAAAGGCGCCCTAGCTGAATGGTTGCCTCCGACCAATGGTTACCCTGGTTATATAATACTCTCCAAAGTACTGTTGAATCATTGGATTTTTCCATATGTAGCTGCAGCTCAGCTGCTCCCACTGACAGGCCATAGTTATAAAACCTGAAAAAGAGCAAATGCAAGAAATGGAAGTGATTTATGGGATGAGATCAAATATTTAACCTTTAGGCTCTTCCACTCAGTCAACAGTTAATAATGAGTTATCACAATGGACACTTCTCTTTCCTGCAGTAATTGTGGCTGCCCGTTTGCAAGAACATATCTGCTGAGGTGAACACGATGTGGCTTTCACCACCCTGGAAAATGTTCTCAAGGAGCTCAGTGCAGAAGGGAAGAAGTAATTGTAATAAAATTGCAATCCACTGTGGAAGGCAAGTGTCCCTTTTATTGTAAGAAAGAAAACAACAAATACTGATAACATGCTCCCAAATAAAATGCAAATTGTGTGAATTTAATGCAATTACTATTTTTAAGAAATACCAAGGGTGAACCACATGATCTAATAAGTGCAGGAGAATGTCTGCAACCACCCAACCTCTAGAGTAATTGAGCATTGTTTTTAATATTTACCAGAAGGAAAGTATGCATTCAGGTCCTGTCTGCCTGAAAGTTGGGCTCTGGAGCTTAGCAATTTGGGACAAGCTGCTGCTTTTCTTCAGAATAAACATAAAATGCCCTATTGAGTTAAAAACAAACAAACACTCATTAACTTACTGAATTCTAAAATAAGATATCTGTCGCTTAGCCCTATGTTGAGTAATTCCATATCCAACTAAAATTAAAACTATACAACAACAACAACAAAATCAAAGTGACTGTCAGTCAAATTTTCTCTGATAAACACAGTACTGAAACAATTATTTACATTTAGGTCTAAGTGATACCAAAAACAATTGGTAGCTTCAGTTAATTAAGTCAAAACTATATCTATACTTCATCTGTACCACCCGTGAAGGAATCTTTCCATGCAGACAGCATAACTGTAATTGACAATGTTCAACTGTGTCCTGCTGTTTGTTGTAGTAACATAGAATTGTAACAGCTTCTCTTTCGCTTCTCAGGCTTAGCTGAACAGCAAAAAAAGTAGCTAGCAAGAGCCTCTGCTTGTTTCTTACCTTCAGCTGTGTTGAGAGTGTGATCCCAAGGTGGAGCCTGATGCTCAAAATCCACAGAAAGGTCACTCTGGGAGCTCCATATCCAGTCAAAATGGTCACCACTAATTGCTTCAAACCAACCACAGCTGTTTGCCTCAAAATCACACTTGGAAACTGAAGAACGAAAATGTGACTCTTATGTCGGCTCTCCACAGTGTTTCCACAATTTGAAAAGGTAAAGCTCAAATAGAAACAATCTTATTATGCTTCTCTAGGTATACTTAGAGACACATTTGAGAGAAAAATAAGAAGATCCTTTCTCATTTCAAAAGTGGAGTTGTGCTTTTCATACGGGTAATTGAGAGAGCAGAATTATCAATTTAAGGAATTCAGATTTTTTCCCCAAATAGTCTAAGAACCAGCATCATCAGCCCCATTGTTTATCAAATTGCCTAGGTTTGCTCAATTCATTCTGATACCCATTTTAGTCTCCCTGCTACTATTATGTCAACTGGAAGGTTTAATTGTTCCTACAGAGTATTTTACACTAAACCATGAATAGCAGCTACTTCTAAAGCATTTAATAGTATTTGAAAAATCCCAGATCGACTATATTTAATATAATGTGTACCCCAATTTTAATACAGTGTAATATTCCACAAAGCATTATATGTATTGCCTAATTTGTGAAGGGAGAACTAATTTGACCTATTTTTCAGGGAAATATGCAGAGAAATCAGTTAACTTCCACCATGATATACTGGAAGAGGAAGAGGGAACAGAGGAAGAAGAGAAAGAAAAAGAAAGAGAACCTATAATAGTAGTAGTATAGTATTGTAGCTAATAGTTTCTGAACCCTTTTGTAACAAACCCTATGCAGAATGCTTTTTTTTTTAATAGTTCTAACTTTCACAACATCTTTATGGAAAATGTATGATTGTTATTGGTGTTGTTTTACAAAGGAAGAAAAGAAGGTTTAGAGTAGTTATTAATTTAACCAAGGTCACATAGTTAGGAAGTTATAGATTAGGATCCAAATATTGTGATTCCTCTTTCTGCAACTGTTGACAATATCTGCTAATGTCATTACACTGGAAAAAGGATAAACCAAAAAGGCATCATCTAAATTTACCTAGCAATGACATTCAGCTATTACTACATAGACTAATGCAAAAATGAAGTTTCTTTCCATTGATGATGAGTATACTAGGATTCTTGACCTTTGACTATTTTTATTGAAGAATATAGTAATAAGCTGCACAGATATTTCCTTGTAAAAGAAATTAGAAAACAAGAAATGAGTTTAGGGACTAAAAGTATAAGGTAATCACCAAATGAGCTTATAAAATTTTTAAGTTGTAAGGACATTTTAACATAGTGATAAAATTATCATTTAAACCTAATGATAATTTCTATTTAAACAATGCTGATTCTACAGAGTGAAATATGGGGTAAGTAATACTACAAACACCTTCCAGTTTTTAGTTTTTATACATAATCTAATTCCAAAAATGTATTTGCTTTCTATAAAATTTCCTGACCCAAAATTTGGCCTGAAAAGTAAGTACATCTGAATCTTATCAAAAA